TGAGATCATCAGACACAATGAAATGTGCTGGTTTCTGAAGAAAGCCATGGAAGGATTTTGAGGTCATTGTGTCCTTGAAGTTATACACCAGATTCACATAAAAAGCTTCCACTGGGTTGGTTGGAAACAAAAAACTTGGGGTCCAGTAGTTCCACACTTCGATGCAGTGAGCTAATGCAGTTGAATGTGCTAGCTTGAACAGTAGAAGAGTGTTTACTGACAACTTTGGATCTAGTTCCCAAGGGCAATGTTAAGACGCTTAGTAAAATATCTACGAAGTCATTTTCTGCCTCTGCAAAGAGAACCTTATTTTTCTCTTTGTCCACAAGCAAAGTCAATGAAATCTTCGATTTTTTAGGAGAAGCCATGACCATAAGAGCAAGAGGCCAAGAAAGATGTTCAATATTTTATGTGAAGGACTGGTTTCTTGGCTCCAATGAGAGAGAGGAAAAGTGGTGGGGATGATGTAGCTATCAAACTCGTAATCAATAAGGACCTTTTGATCTTTGAAAACTTGTATCATTACCCAGGCGTTGCACTCCTCGTTTGCTATTTAAAACTTTGATTACTATCACTATTAATTAATTAAATACCAAACTCAGCACATAGGGAAGTGAGAAGTGATACATTAAGAATCAAGTTTAGATGGATAGTCCAAGGGGGATGAACACGAAACTTACCCTTGAAGCATCAAATTCGGATCAAATAAAAAGGAGGGGAGAAGGAACTCTCCACTTCCCCCCACTTCTTTATTCTCACCATTACATTAGCTTCTACAAAAATGTTTTATAATTTCTATATTTATTAACTTTTTATAAGATATTAAATCTCTACCGTTGAGGATAAGGAATTAGTAGGGGGAAGTGGAAGGTAAGAGAAATGAAGATATTCTCTTTGCCAGATAAAATAAAATTAGATGATATACAATTAATTACATTAGAAATCAACATCCTAGCTTCTCAAACACCATGAAAATGACTTTTTAGTTGTTTATACCTGCCAAGGTTAATTGACTATATTTTTTTGGCCAAGGAATAATTGAGTATCTTATTGAAGATACAATCTGATGTTTTTAATTATATGCAACTACTTCTCTTACCCACAATGAATGTCTGTGGCAAGTATACGCAAATAGTAATAAAAAGTAAGTTATGTCATTAATCATTAAATATGTTAAAAAAAACAATGAGAGTTTGGTCTCACGAAATTAGTTAGTCCCTTGCTATGAGGTAACATGAGTTTTAGCTTTAAAAATTGCTACGAAAAATTCATTCTGACCGCTTGTAAATATTTTAACTTTTAGAAGTCTTTATGCAAGTTTAACCCACAACTTGTATAAAGAATAAAAGAATCTCTCGGTAAAACTTAAACACAGCTCCCTCTTAGCTAGACAGCGTTTTAAGGTGAGTTTGGATACAACCTCCACTTTAGCTTGTGCTATTTTTAAAGTTCTATGAAGGAGAAAATGCTTATTGTATAATTTCTTTAAGGTCAAGCTTTTTGGAGCAATTACATATCATGGTCACAACCAAAACAACGAAAATGGAAATAATAATAATAACAACAACAACAACAATAACAATAAGAGGATACTCAATATATCAACATGAATATAAAAACCCTAATAAAGGGTATTATTGGCCAATCACGAATATTGCGATTCAAGTGTTCAATTTTTGTTCATTCTTGGATGAAGATTGGAGCTAGATGATCTAAGAGTGTACTCTGCAACAAGCTGAGCAAAAGATGAGGACTTGTCCTGTAGCAGACCTGCTGGAGAGCCATAGTCTTCAATCATTCCTGTATGTTTGCCAAATGAATGTACTATAATAAAATCATATTATCAATAATAATACAGCAATTTAGGACAAGGTGTATGCTAGACCACTACTATGTGGGAGAAGAAAAAAATCTTGAACTAAATTGCTGTCAATATATATCTATATATGACTTTTACTTATACTTAATGTCAATATATATAAAAGGAATGAAGGGAAAGTATACAAATAGCATATGACGTTGTTGAGATCAAGATAATTAAGAACTTGTATAATTTAAAAGCATATATCCATTAGGGGTTATCACAATAAAAGCAAAATGCACCAAAATTGAAAAACAACATTACTACTTAAAATCCAAATATGCATTAATACTTGTTTGGTAAGCCCTCGTAATCACTTAAAAAAAAAACACTAATCTTTTGACTTTACAAGACAAAACTCTTCTCACGTAGTATTTGTTCTGTCTTTTGATTGTTGTGGTTGTTAAATGTTTGATACATCAATGGATTAATCCTCCATATCATCAAATTTAAGTTCACATTTTAACTGATCAATACAGCTTAGTTTTTTGTTTGAAAAAAGGCTATAATAAACAGTATGAAAGGAAAGAGACAACAAACGCAACAAATTAAAAAATGACTTTCAGTGGCAACATTAAGAGTTATCGCTGAAAATCTTACTTTCAGTGATGACCATAAATGTTGCTGCTAAAAATGTGCTTTAAAAACAGTCACACAATCTATGTTTATCGATTTCCCTAGAATCTATTATCATTCATGATATGACATATGACCAGTAATATGCTACTGGCTTTTACAACTTCTCTTATGATTAACAAGTAGTGGCCTCAAACCAATTGTTAAGGCTGGTGATGTTATCATTGATGCTTTCAGAACTTCCAATACCTAAAATTTCCCTAAAATTTCATAGAAAAAACATAGTAAAACTCATATATTAGATGCTCTATATCACTTACAGAGAAAACTAAACAATCAAAGAAGCTGAACTGAGAACCGTATATACGTATATACCGCATTCACTTCAATACTTAAGTCTCTTACTTCTAAGTCATGCTCAACAACTTGCGATTCACGAAGAATAGACAAAGTAGTAGCCTGAGGAAAAAATGGCTCTACGCACAAATCATCTCCCACCATGAACATTCTCCCACTAACATAATCATTCTTAGACCAAATTATAGGCTTATCTGTTTTATAAACTAGTAACACCTGGTGTGGGGTTTGGCTTGCAAGATCAGGATTGAGCAGCTTGTTCTTCAAGTCATTACAAAAGAAATAGGAATTAAAACCAGTTGCTTCCAAATCAGCCAGACTCTTGTACAAGTTATCAATGCAGCACAGACCAAAGTTACCTTGTACAAGATGATGACTTCCCTATCGATTAGTCAAGAAACTTAAGATCCATATGTGAAATTTTCTTCTACTTCGGCTACCAATATCTTCCTTTCTGATTTTGATATCATTACTTTCAACTTCATCGACTTCCCACCCTCCTTTCCAAATAGCTTGCTCATCTTTAAATGGGATTTTGCTAGTATTCTCCAATTCTGAATGTTCAGCTTTTCTTGTAAGAATAAATCTATTAATGGTCAGTTTGACCATAGCAAGAGCTTCAGTAGATCCAGTACCTTCACAAACAAACCATGGTGACTTCAAAATTTGAGTACTTATTTTAACATGGGTAGTTATTATGCTTTGAACAAAATTGAAAGAGGGAATATTCACCTAATTCTGGGTGACATCATGATCAATCTCTGGGGAACGCAGTCAATTCTGAAGTTATGAAGTATCCACAAGGTTGTAATTAGATTCCAAGACATCAATGTGAGATCATCAAACACAATGAATTGTGCGGGTTTCTGAAGAAAGCCATTGAAGGATTTTGAGATCATTGTACTCTCGAAGTTATATACTTCTCCATTTCCTAATGTAAGACCTAATTAACTAACTTGAGTGAATTAAACATATTAGTTAAATTAGTTGATATGATATTTTTTTTCCTAAAACACCATAAGCAACTTCTTTAATTCTCTCCCTCCCTCTTCTTCTTGATTATTGTTGGGAATATCAATAGTGTTGATTTAGGAAAAAATTGATAAACTTGTAAAATTTACGTATAGGACTAACATAAACTCCCAAACTAGGTCCTACATTAAGGGGCAAAGAGAATACCAGATTTCCATGGTAGGCTTCCATTGGGTTAGTTGGATTCAGCAACTTTGTGTTGCTGGCATCAGAACTAAAAATACTTGGGGTTCAAATTTTCCACCCTTCGATGTAGTGAACTTATGCAGTTGAATGTGCAAGCTTAAACAATAGCAGAGTGCTTACTAACAAGTTTGGATATACCAGTTCCCAAGGGCGGTGTTAAATAAGAAGCTTAGTAAAATATCTACGAAATCTTTTTCTGCTTCTGCAAAGAGAACATTATTTTTGTCTTTGTCCACAAGCAAAGTCAATGAATGAAATCTTTAGTTTTTTAGGAGAAGCCACGACCATAAGAGAAAAAGCAAGAAAGATGTTTAATATTCTATGTGAAGTATTGGTTTCTCGACTCAAGCGAGAGGGAGGAAAATTGGTAGGGAAGATGTATGAGAAAACTGAAAACAAAAATGAGAAGAAAGAGCTCTGGAAAATATTTTTGAGGATGTATTTTATTCAATCTGCAAAATGGGTATTTAAAGACATTAAATCATGACAATAAAAAAACAAAAATATGCTAAAATCCCTATGAATCAGCAACTATGTGACTAATTGATAACAACCCACTAAATCAACAAATACATGGCTAAAAAATAGGAACAAACTTTGACAGAATCAAACTCTAATAATTTATTTTCAAACTGCAATTAATTCCTAAAAATCAACAACAAACTAACGTCAGCTAGTGAGACATATCTCAACACTCCTCCTTGCATCAATAGTTGTACATGCCTAGCTTCATCCTTAGCTCTTCAAACTTGTCTCTTAGTAGAGCTTTGGTAAAAATATCAGCAACTTGATCAAAGGTTTTGCAATAAGTCAGTATGACTTCACCACTCTGTCGTACATCTTTGATAAAGTATAACTTGATGTTAAAATGCTTAGTTTTGCCATGAAAAACTGGATTCTTGGATATTGTAATGGCTGCTTGATTGTCCACTTAAATTGATGTGCTTTCCTGCTGCATAAACTATAAATCAATTAGCATCTTCCTTAACTAAGGAGCTTGCTTAACAGCTGTATTTGCTGCTATGGATTCAGTTTCTGTAGTTGATTGGGCCACCACTTCCTGCTTCTTCGAACTCCAAGAAAATACCCCAAAACTCAAAATAAAACAATACCCAAAGGTGCTCTTCATATCATCCAAGGACCCTCCCCATTCTAAGTCAGAACAGCCTTCCAATTTGAACACTTGATTACGTTTATACCGAATACCATAATCAAGAGTTCCTTTGATATACCTTATGACTCTCTTTACAGCCTTGTAATGATTCAATGTAGCACAATGCAAAAATCTTGAAAGAACACTTACAGCATAGAGAATGTCAGGTCTTGTTGTAGTCAAATGCATGAGATAGCCAATAAGACTTCTATAAATGCCCTCGTCATCCTTCTCTACAGCATCATTCTTACTCAGCTTTTCCTTTTGATTCATTGGAGTAGCAATAGCTTTACTTCCTTCCATGCCAAATCTATTCAGTATTTCTTTGGCATACTTTTTCTGATTAATAAATATCCCCTGCTGATCTTGTTTTATCTCCATGCCCAAAAAATAGGACATAGTTCCCAGATCTGTCATCTCAATAAATCAGCATGTGAGTGCTTAATGTACAAAGTTGATTCATTTAAGCTTCTTGTGAATCCAAGGCTCTGCAAGTGCTCATCTATTGTGCTATACCAAGCTCTAGGAGCCTGCTTCAACCTATGCATGGCTTTCTTTAGCAAGTAGACCTAATCCTCTTGCCCTTGAACAACAAAACCTTTTGGTTGCTCTACAAAAATCTCCTCCTCCAAGTAACCATTGAGAAAGGCTGACTTAACATCAAGCTACCATGCTGCCTATACTTTTTGAGCTGCTATTGCAAGTATTAATCTGATTGTATCCAGGTGTGCAATAGGTGCAAAAGTATATGTGAAATCCTCTCCATACACTTGTGCATAGCCTTTGACCACCAACCTTGCTGTACTTGTTGATGGAGCCATCATCATTCAACTTTGTTTTGAACACCCATTATGACTTTCTTATGTTCTGGTCTATCAACTAAAACCCAAGTTTGATTCTTCTCAATCATATTCAACTCACCCTTCATAGGTTCAATCCACTTTGGATCCTTCACTACATCTACAAAATATTTAGGTTCCACCAAAGACACATTACATCTCTGGTAAACATCAGATAATGATCTTGTACCTCTAACTGGAATGTTATCAATGGTATCATCTAATGGAGAGGTTGTAGATGTAACTGAAATGTTATCAATGGTATCATCTAATGGAGAGGTTGTAGATGATAATCCATCATCTGGTATCCTCCTTTTCTCTTCCCAGTGCCACTTTTCTAGTTCTGCAAATTGAATATCTTTGCTCATCACTATTTTTTCAAATTGATGTTGAAATACTTTATAGGCTTTAGAGACACTGCTATAACCTATAAAGATCCCTGGATCAGCTCTCTTATTAAGTTTATCTCTCTTCACCTATAGAGTATAACAGATACAACCAAACACTTTCAAGTTTGTTAAAAGTGGCTTATAACCATATCATGCTTCAAATGGCGTTTTCCCTTGCAATGCTTTTGTAGGCAGCCTGTTTTGCAAAAATATAGCTATGTTAGCTATTCAGCTCAAAACTTCTTGGGTAGATCCTTCTCATGAAGCGTGCAGGGAGACATCTCCATAATAGTTCTGTTCTTCTTCTCACTCACCCCATTTTGTTGCGGAGCGTAAGGAGCTGTCAACTTATACTCAATTCCTGCTTCTTCACAAAATTTAGTGAATTTATCTGATGTATATTCAATCCCATTATCTGATCTAATAGCCTGAATCTTGTAGCCACTTTGATTCTCAATCCACACCTTGAAATTCCAAAGCACTTCTGCAACTTCTGTTTTGAATTTCAAGAAATAAATCCAACACATTCTAGTTAGATCATCAACAAAAGCTATATAAAAAGACTTCCATTCAAGGATGGTTCAAACATAGGCCCACAAAAGTCAGTATGGATCAACTATGGTTTTTGAGTTGCTCTCCAAACTGATTTAGCAAATGGCAGCTTAGTTTGCTTCCCATATTGACAAGCTTTACAAACTAACTTGAGAGGTTCCAATAAAGGTACTCCTTGCACCGCATCTTTCTTGCTTAGATCCTGCAATGCAAACTCATTGCAATGGCCTAGCCTTTTATGCCAAAGTTCAGTTTCATCACTGATTACAACATGAGCTCTTTGATCAACATCAGTCAAATCCAAAGAAAAACATCTATTTTCATTCTGACCTTAAACAATAATTGACCATGAGCATCATTGATCAAACACATTTTATCTTTAAATAACATCTCAAAACTTTTATCTACCAATTGGCCAACACTAAGCAAGTTTTGATCTGCTTCAGGGATAAAAAATATGCCTGAAATCTTTTTTATACGTGAATGAGTTTGCAATGCAATAGTGCCTCTACCTTTAACCTTCATTTTATCTCCATTTCCTATCTTTATTGTAATTCCTGCTACCTTTTCAAGATCAATAAATAACTCCTAATTGCTGGTCATGTGGCTAGTGCAACCACTGTCTATTAACCATATTTCACTTGAGGTTGTGACTGAAAAACACTTTGCAGTTAATAAATGCTCCTCCTGTTGATCTGCAACATGAGCTTCTGTCACTTGTTGAGTTTTGTTTTTGCATATTTTAGCAATATGCCCTAATTGCTTGCACTTATTGCACTTAACATCTAGTCTCCTCCAATATTTGAATGGTGGATGACCCTTCTTCCCACAATAATGTTCGCAAGGAGGAAAATCGCACTTATTTTTGTCTCCCTCCTTCTTATCAAACCCATCCTCCTTTTTCGCTTTCTTCTTTCCTTTTTGACTTTGACTAACCTGCAACTTGGCTTGCAATGCACCCTTAACGGACCCTTCCTGCCTCTTGTGCCTTTTTTGTTCTTGTGCTTGCAAGACACTCAAAAGTTCTGCCAAAGTAATGATTGACAAATCTTTTGAGTTCTCCAAGGCTAAGATGGTTGTTTCAAACCTTTTAGGAACTATCACTAGCAGCTTCTGCACTATTCTGGAGTCAGTAAATTCACCCCCCAACAACCTCACTTTATTTGCAATTCGTAGAAGTTTATCTGAATACTCTTGAATAGTTTCAGATTCCTTCGTCTTTTGCAATTCGAATTCCCTTACAAGATTCAGCATCTGCATTCCTTTGATCTTCTTATCTCCTTCATACTCTTGCTTGAGATAATCCCAGATCTCCTTAGATGTCTTCAAGGTCATAACTCTTGTGAAGATTGCTGGAGAAACAGCAGAGAACAAACAAGACTTGGCTTTTGACTTTCTCTAGTTACTCTCTTTGTGACTTCGTAGTTGAGCTACTGTAGGATTTTCTGACAAAGGAGGACCCTCATAATCCTCCTTAACAGCTTCCCATAGATCATTGGCTTCCAAATAAGCCTCCATTCTCACTGACCACGTATGGTAACTTAGGCCATCAAAAACTAGAGGGGCTATGGCAGTAAAAGAAGGTTCAGCCTTCATAGTGGTTTGCATTTTGGCTAACACTCAATGTTTATCTCACAGGTCCCACAAGATAAAAGTGCTCTAATACCACTTTGAAGGTTTTAGAAAGAAAACTAAAAACAAAAATGAGAAGAAAGAGCTCTGAAAAATATTTCTAAGGATGTATTTTATTCAATCTGCAAAATGGGTATTTAAAGACATTAAATCATGGCAATAATAAAACGATAAAAATCTGCTAAATTCCCAATGAATCAGCAACTACGTGACTAACTGATAACAACCCACTAAATCAGCAAATACATGGCTAAAAAATAGGAACAAACGTTGACAGAATCAAACTCCTATAATTAATTTTTGAACTGAAATTAATTCCTTAAAATTAGCAACAAACTAACGTCAGCAAGTGAGGCATATCTCAACAATGTAGCTGTCAAACTCATAATCAATAAGGATCTCCTTTTCACCCTTACTTTTGGAATAAATCCCCATGAAACAGAAAAATAAACCCGGAATAACCGAGGTGGAATCAGAAATCAGGTACTGAATTGCTGAAGAAACTTGTTCATAAAGAATGATACTTACAATGAAGCAATAACAGGATAAAGACCAAGTACAAGCTACCCCAGTTTCTGAAGAACAAGGGGAAGTCCTTTCACCTGAATTGATGAATACAATATGCAAGTATAGCCAAATCCAAAATGGTTACGAGCTTTTCATCAGTCCAATAATTCCTATTCCGGTCCAAGTAATTAAACAGGCATAGGGCAAGATAGAACACCGAAACATCCAAAGAACAAAATATAAGTTTTCCTGTATAGACTTATATTGAACTTCTCTTCTGAACTATGTCTGTTTCTTGCAGTGGTTTTCTTGCTCGCCCACTAGACCAAAAAACGTCAAAAACAACACCAGGAGGAGAAAACCCATGTGAAGCCATGCAAGAAAATGGGTTTCAGGAAGAACTCAGAGGCAGAATACATGTTTGCGGAATACGAAAAGAGTAACAGCATACCTTAGATTAAACAATCAAGAAGTTCATTTTGCCTGAAGGATCTGAATGATAAGAGAGCAAGGCAAAACTTTGCTGGGCAGAAATGGCACCTGAGTGTATTAATGAGCTACCGCTCAGTAATACCATCCTCTCCATCGGAATTGAAGTTTCTTTCCGAGCTGAATTAGCAGAAATCAGGAAAGCTTGAAGATGTGAAGTGCATGAATGGTCACGAACGAGAGATGAAGACTTTACTTCCATCAACTTGTTCATGCACCTCTGGAAAGTTTAGTAGAGAGAGACGTGATTGTCTTCTAGTACGAGTCTAACTCAAATTTGGACTACAAAAATCTAACGGCTTTTTGGAGTCGCGATGATGTAATATAACTGTGATAAAATGGAAATGACACTTATGTCCAGCATTCATAAGTGAAAAATGAGTTTTGGTGCAACGTGCAAAGTTGTTAAAATATATTATTTAAAATATAAAATACCAAAATACACTTATTTAGAACTAAGAGCTTACCGATCAAAGATCAAAAGTAACAAGCATGCCTCTCTTTTTTTTTTGGTCCAAAACAAGCATGCCTCTTTTACTTTTTCATATATTGTGAGCATCAAAATGACAACAGTCCTATTTGTCATCATGTTTAAAATTACTTATAAATACATTTTATGTAAGTCGAGACAAAACTCATCTAATATATTTATCTCATATTTCGTAAATCACAATTAAAAAGTTATTTATAAGTTATTCTAAGTGAGCCCTACGTCATCTACAGAAATTACGATAATATGGGATGCCCAGGTTGGCTTACCCAATCTGAGGTTTACTTGCTACAAATTAAAGTCTTCTTAGTTCCCAATTGCTAAAGAAATAAAAAGGGACGCCTTCCTTGGTCATTGGAAAATTAAAAAAAAAAAAAACATTTGTTTCACTGATTCAAGGATTTTGTAAATCCTCGGGCAGCATCTTAAAACTTGCTCGCATAATTTGCATCAACTTTTTTCCGTAGTTTTCCTCACTGCTTTTACCAGAATCTTGCAACTCAACCTTCACTTGTTTATCACCTTCAAGCAATGGAGAAATGGAAAACAACCAGGCATTGCCTATAGAATCCAAGAGAGATGATATTTAATAATCTGATTATTGTTAACAATTTAGATATATTTGTTATTGCCTAGTTAGTGAAGTGAGGGAGAAAAGATGAATCAACTACTTGAATGCTTATAGGTTAATGATCTGAAGAGCAAAATGCCATTTGGGTCTTGAAAGATACTTGTTCTATGATTTAGTCTTCATTTATTGCCAATGTTTATGGGTTGAGTCCCAGTTTGGGGTGAACTGAATTAATAGGAAAGGAAAATCAGCATGCATGACATGGTAAAGGAAAATCCACAGCCAAACTCACAAACCCGGATTCAGGGCTATTGGGATCCAATGGAAGATCATTACGATTTATTTTTCCTTTGACCCTTCCACAGGATGGATAGTACAGAGTCAGAACTTCTGACGATGAAATCTTTAGCCTCTGAGATATTTTGGAAAAATCATATGGTACTCAGAAGTTTGGGCGAGATCGGAAGCATAGTTAAAGAGAACATACTGTGAATGAGGCGGCCGGTGAAACAGAGCTTTAGCCTCAGCCCATTTTGAGACCGTGAAAGAGAAATCTCTGTATCTTTAGCTGCTGAAATATAATGGCTGGACGATGCTGACGTTCGTATAATTGCTTTCAGGTAATTGTTGCATCATTCTAATAATTTCAAAGGTTATTTCTTTCGGCCCATCTTAACGGCTTAATTTAAGAAATGGTTTTTTTGTTTTCTTTCAAGTACTCCCCTTTTCCCTCAAAATGGATCAGATAGTTCCCTTTTGGCATTTATTTTAGCTTTTATTTAAAAAAAAAAAAACAGGAGTTTACAAAAATCAAAAACCAAAAAAGCTTAATCTTCTCGAGACTTCATATCAAGAATGAGCAGAGTGTACTAAATCTGCAGCATACATATTGGCAAACAGTGCCACTTATCAAGTAGATGATATAAATCATGAGGTCTTTTAACATCATATACATAAATCCTCTGGGGGCACGACTACATGAGACAGAACTAATGCTCAAGAAAAACTGAGCCAAAATTAAATATCAACCTACAAGATTCCCGTGAGTTAATTATACTACTCAAAAGGCAGAACAGAAAATAAAATAGATCCCAACGCAACTGCCACTAAGAGTCTAATATCATAAAAAAGACTGCACAGCAACTTCCTCCAAAGTTTCGTTTGGTTTCCTCCACTCCTGATTCTCCTCCTAAAATCCAGTCTGTAAGAAGAACCATAATGCAAAAGAAAATGCCATTTAGTCAACAGAAAAAACACTGACCAAGTAAAGTACTTTCAGAAATGTCATCAAGGACAAGTGAAAATTGTCCGAGCCAAATATAAGAACTAACATTTCTTTTCTTTTTTCAGGTCTGAAAAAACTAATATTTTTCTTCTTGTTTGGAGGACATTTGATATACGAAATGAACCACTATTTTATTTTAGCTCATCCAAAGAAAGCATGACTCAAATTATTCATCTTATTGATCCTTTTAGATCCGCGCCACTAATAAGCCCCATGTCTATTTGACGACCCACATATAGGAAGTCAATTAAGTTTTTCCTGAGCCTCCTTCCATAAAACAGTCTTTGATGGAAGCAGAAAGAAGCAATTTCCAGTCAAAATCATGAGGCAGAAAGCCAGAAACTACTAGCTGCATCTTTTGAATTTAGTACTTGTTAGTTTCCTCTATAAATCAGGTAAAGAAACTAATTCGACTAACTTATATAAACAATGCGTATGGTCATACCTTGCTTCAACTAGTTGATGGTAGAAACACCCTGATGAGCTCTTTTGCAGTAACCTTTTTCCTACACGTAGGGCATTTACCCTGAGCATTTATAGCAGCCTTGATGCAACTCTTACAGAATATATGACCACACCTTGTTGACACTTCCTCTACAAATGGGCCCATACATATTGGACAGCTAAAGACAGGCTCCATTGGAGGTTTAGGTTTCTCCCACTGCCAAAACGGATATTCAAGTCAGCAAATTCAATAATATAAATATCTCTACACATATTGGGACATAGGGGATGGCAAAATGGAAGAAAATGAGGACTATTAGTCCAAAAGAGAACACAGAAGTTAAGATACAAAAAGATAGAAAGGTGAAGGAGTAAATTAAGACGTTTATGATGAAGGGCAGGAGAGAGCAGTGTATAAAAAGCCTAGCTGAGAGCATGGAATGCAGAGAACTTTGAGTGTGGTTTTGGGTTGAGAGGGCCAACCTCTCAAAAGTTAGCAAATATCTTGTGTTCTGTTCTTGAAGTGTATGATGTAGTATTGTGTGTGTGTCTGTTTGGTGGTAAAGGACTTAGAGTCCTCTTGTTATCCATGATCTTTGCGTTAGTGTATGAAACATGACATGTTCTAAAACATTTTGTTACCTCAGAGCTGCCACTGCCTTCCAAGTTTATACATACATCAGAATTAGGAATTGTTTGGTTTGAAGAATCTCTTCTGCAATTGTTGGTAGCATTTTCATTTATCCAACTCCGGTAATCTGCAAAAATCATGAATGAAAGGGAACGAGTTAACCAGCACAAGTCACAGGGAAGAAGATAACAAAAATTTTACCAGGAAAAAGACAGAGGAATGGAACAATATGTTACCTAAATCCACATCAACTACAGTCCTCCCACGGTTCCTTCTTGAATTGTTTTTAGCCTAAATTGAATGAGAATTGCATAAATAAGGCTAGCCCTCAAAATCAAATAACAAATGACATCATCAAATCAACAGTGAATCTAAGGGAGAGGTATACTTCAGCAAAAGCACTTGCTGTACATTCAATTACATCATCATCGATGGCCTCCACATCAATAGGCTGTACAACTTGTGGCTGCTGGACGGCTTGAACTAACTGAGGTTCTGGTGGAATCGAAGGTCCCTCTTGCTCCCGGTTCTCACCAGGCGGAGCTCTATTAAGATCCAAATCCAAACCAGCCTTCCTTCGTCGGTAACTTCTGAGAGAACGCTCCCTAACAGAACGAGTACTCATCTTGAGTACTGATATTACTGCACCCAAAGCGAACAACCCATATCACATAAAATTATATTATGCACAACAACCAATAAAAGGAGTCGTGTCTGGGCTCCTAAAAGAGCTAAAATTTACTTGGCAGACGATAATGGAGGGAAAAATTAAACAAAATTACAAAGTGATGATTCGGATAATTGAAGAAGACATAATAGCCATAACAGACTTGAGTTCCAGCAGAATTAGCAATGCTGAAACATTTTCTTGATTAAGATATAGCACTAACTAAATTGCTAGGGTAAAAGCTTGAGATTGACATAAGCCATGAATAAAGAAGGAAAACAGTTACTAACTATCCTGGCCCTCAAAAAGTAGGTAAAAGGGGTAAATCGTTGCCCAGTTATCCAAGGGGGGAAAAAAAGTTAAACGAACAGATTCGCAACCTAGTAAAAATAAATAATTTTATCATAAAAGAAAAAGAGAAGTTCTGGTGTCTGACGTCTGATATCTAGAATTTTTGGTTTACAATTTTCAGCAGCTAGGGTAAGAAAAACCGCAGCTTTGTAGCAAATTCATCTGTACATTTTTCTTGTGAATACTCTGAAATCAGCATCGAATCATCGCAATGAATAGATCAATTACTCATCCAGAAAGCTAGAAACACAGTACATTTATCAGGTACCCATGTTCAACAACCAGAAACTTTAGTTGAGGGAAGAACATTAATAAGTTAACCACGGAATGCGAAAGCCACTGGTCACAAAAGAACCATAACCAAGCCTTCAGAAATAGTACCCAATGAACCCAACCAACCCACTTCAACAATCAAGCATACATTTTCTATGACGTGAAGCATTCAAACAAATAGAAAATCGCTTTGGCCAAAAAAACCAAAACACAAAAAAAAAAAAATACACACACACACACACCACAAAATACAGGGAAAAGACACTACTTGCTGAGCATCATGTGCGAAAATCGGATCACCACGAATCAAAGTCAACAACAATAAAAAAAAAAAAAAAGATAATAAAGTTGGACAAGAAAAGCATTATTTTCAGCGCCGATGTCCAGAAATGAGAAAGAAAACTACAAACAAAGCCGAAAATCAAAACCCCCAAAGCGAAACAGGGTCTAGGCAACTCAAACAAAACCAAAGACCAGAAAAAGGTCAGAAGTGAGAAAAAAACGTACCTTCAATCGGAGCTCCGAATCACGAAATGGGACGAACAAGAAGGAGAATCTGAACTAATCTCAGTTTTAGGGTTCACAGCATCAAGAACAGCTGAGCAAGCCTTCTAAATAGTACGAAGGAGAATGAATGGGATGAAAGGAAGAGATGTGATGTTGTGTCGCGCAGTGTTGGGAGCAGAACGGAGTTAGGGACAATGCGCAAGGAAGTCGGTGAATGTTGTCCACGTGGCGCATCCTCTGTGGTTCCATGCACGCGTGAAGATGAAAGCATCGCTATGATTCGGTACTTCTCGCACGAACGAACGAATCATTTGAATTTTTGAAGCTATTCATCTTCTTGGAGGCCTTCACCATCGGGATCGTGGGTCCAAGAGGAGGTAACGGAACGGAATTTTTTTTCAAGAGAAATTACACCCATGACCCAAATCTTCAAATATTTTACCTTCTGACATCTTCAAAACTTCTGAATTAAGATTATAACAGGTGGCCTGATGATTGGCAATAATTTTTTCAAAAAACACTAATTAATAATTTGTAATAAACTTGAGCGTAATATTTTTAAGATTTGGGTCACAAATGTAATTATTTTAATATTAATAAATCAAATTATTTTATTAGAATTTCTATCTTTTTATATGTTCAAAACAAACTAGTTTCTCTTTTTTTTGGGCAACTTAAATTTCTCTTTTAAAAAAAAGATTCGAGATTTCTTTTTTTTTTTTTTTGCTTTTTACAGGCAATTTCAAGATTTTCATCCTTCTTATAATTTGTTTTCTTAGAAGAATCTAGATTAATAAAATACTTGGATAGAATCCAAACTATGATTTTAAAAGTGCTTTTACGGTATACAAGTAAATATATAGATGAGTTTATTCGATTTTAGGAAAAAGTGTTTTTCAAAGTATTCTAATATTACCCAAACACGCAACCTAATATAGGTATTTATTTTTGGAGA